CCGCCATCTTGCCCCGCCTCTCTACTCCAAAGCCCCACCTTTAAATGCTGTGCTTTGTGTCCAGTGTTAGAGAATATACAGCAGCCAAAAGAGCAAGGGCTTTTGCTCTTTGGAGATTTGGATTCTTTAAAACCCAAGTGCCAGGTGGGAGATTTTGGTAGGAAGGTGGCAGCACCTATTTCTGATTATATAGTTCATAATGTTGCTGCTATCAAATCATCCACAACTCATGGCAACCACATGTACAACAGAACCAACCCTGCCTAGTCCAGTACTATCCCCATCATTTGTTGTGGATTGAACCATTGTAATCCGTAGGGTTGTCATTGACTGAATTTCAGAAGTAGATCACCAGGCCTTTCTTCCTGGTGATCTTGTTTTCCTTGGCTTTCAGGCTACCTCCCTCTCATGGGTTGTCTCTCTATGTTTCTGGCAGAGTTTTTTCTGCCTCCTTATATAGGTTTCTCTTCTCCCTGGCCAGTAAGTTGGAATCCCATGATTCTAGGCCATCTTAGCCTAGGTTCTAGGCCATCTTAGTCTGGGAACTCCACTGAGACCTATTTCACATCATTGAAAACTGTTCAGCATCATAACACACAATCCTCTACTGATACACTGGCCATGGCTGTGCTTGAGGTGCAATGTCAGGAATTGAACCTCTGTCTCCTGCATAGAAGGCAAAAACTCTACCACTGAATCTCCAGAGCTCTTGCTCAGTTACAATAGAGCAGTGTTAAATAAATGACATGGCTCTACTTGCCATATGAAAGAATTACTGCAAAGAATCAGCAGGATGAATTCCCTGTGGAGGCTATAAGGGAGAATTTGTTCTTTGTTTCTTCCAGCTTCTGGTGGTGCTGGCATTCCTTGGCTTGTGGACTCATCACTGCAGTCTCTGTCTCTGCAGTCATACCACCTTCTCCTCTTCTGTGTGGTCAGATTTCCCTCTGCCTCCCTGTTATGTGAATACTTTTGATTGTATTTAAGGACCACTCTGATAGTCCTAGGAGCTCTGGTAGCATAGTGCCTAAGGCACTTGACTGCTAACCAGAAGACTGGTGGTTCAAACCCATGAACCACTCCACAAAAGGAAGGTTGGGCAATCTACTCCCGTAATGATACTGCCTTGGAAACCCAAGGAGGTGTCACTAGGATTCAGGTCCAACCCAACAGCACATAACAACAACTAATAGTCCTGATAGCATAGTGCCTAAGGCACTTGACTGCTCACCAGAAGGCTGGCGGTTCAAACCCACCAGCCACTCCTCAGAAGGAAGGTTGGGCAATCCTACTTCCATAGTGATACTGCCTCGGAAACCCAAGGAGGGGTCGCTATGAGTCAGGGCCGACTCAATGGCAAACAACAACAACAACAACAATAGTCCTGCATCATCTCATCTCAAAACTTTTTTTTTATTATTCTGCAAAGTCTTTCTTTCTTTTTTCCTTTTTATCATATAAGGTATGATAACCTCTCAGACTCCAGAGGTTAGGATGTGGATACCTTTTGATGGCATTCTTCAACCTACCACACATATAAAGATGAACTAGAGCTTTCATAGGGGCAGAGCCCTGTCCAATGCCACACTTCAAGTTAGTGACAAAAATCTGATAAGGACCCAGGCCTCTTTTCTGTCAATTTTGTGCTTCTTCCAATAGGCCAAACTGAAGCCCATATCTCTCCTCAAAAAGTAAGACAGGGAAAGAGATTTTGAAAGAACACCTCATACCATCATTCATGTGCTTCATTCACTTTTTTCTTTGGTTGTGTGCTACCAGGATCCATCTGCTTTTGTTCCTTTTTCCTCCTCAGGTGTTAGTTGTATTATAGGCACGCAATACTCATGTCTGCATGGGCAGCTGAGACGACTGGAGCTAAATAGCATTTTCTCCTTTCCTTTCAGGACCGCCTCTTTTTTGTCATGGAATATGTCAATGGTGGAGACCTCATGTTTCAGATTCAGCGCTCCCGAAAATTCGACGAGCCCCGCTCACGGTTCTATGCTGCAGAGGTCACCTCAGCCCTCATGTTCCTTCACCATCATGGAGTCATCTACAGGTAGCCTCTTATCTCCTCTTCTCTGGTTTTGAAGTGAAAAAAATAAAGAATTCTCTGGACACTTGAAATGACTTTGGCTCCCACCCAACTGTTCTCTTAGCAACCAGCTTTAGATTAGTTGTTTGTTCCAATTTGCTTACAGAGAACTTTTTTGGGGGCTGTTTATCATTGTGAATGTTAATATTTGAATGGCCCCAGGAGATCTGACCCACTGTTTGTGCCAGTTTTGATTTAAAGCTCAAGTTTGACATTTTGAAGACTTGGCGCCGGGCAGCCTTGCTGCGACCTTCATTTCTCTCTCTCCCCACCCTCTTCCTTGAACATCAGGGCATTCTCTTTCCTTTTTCCTTCTGTGCCATGAACTTCCTCCCCTTCCCAACCTCTTGCCACTTCCTGAGTTTGTTTGGTTTAGTTGTCTCCTGCAGATAGAATCAGGGAAGGAGGATTTGCTCGGGGGTCTCAGGGTTTATGATCTGGAACAGGGGAAAGGGAAGTAGCCAGTATCCAACAGGAAGTGACTCTTTGCAGTCCCTTCTTACTGCCCTGTACCCCTTCCAAGAAAACATAGAACATGTGTGTGTGTGCGCACACACACACACGCACTCTTATTTTCCAGTAAGGGAGCAGGACTGTTTACGCAGGCTCTTCTGTGAGGTCAGGAATTCTAGGAGGAGTAAATATTTATAATTAGCAACAGGGACACTAAAGATCCTAAGGTTTTTTTAGTGACTGTCCATTTCTTTACTTGGCCTTTGCTTCCTTCTCTTTTATTTTCTTTCTTTCTTTTTTTTTTAATTGGGTGTTAGAAAGACTGGCTATAGCCTTGGTTTAGCCCAGGACTTAGTCACTGGCTACTCCTGGGAACAAAGCCCCAACTAAAATGCTCTTTAGAGTCTCTGGCCATCCCCATCCCGGACTTTCTTTTCCCCCGCCATCTCTTAGCTCCCTAAAATGTGCCTCTCTCTGCTCAAAAGTAATCAATGGTTCCTTATGACCCACTTGATGAAGCCCATGCATTTTAGCCTGCTACCCAAAGATCTCTACAATATGAGTCTCCATTTTAGTTTCCCATTGTTGTTGTTGTTGTTGTTAGATGCCATTGAGTTGGTTCTGACTCATAGTGACCCCATGTGCAGCAGAACAAGATACTACCTGGCCCTGGGCCATCCCCCACAGTCCTTGCTATGCTTGAGCCCATCATTGCAGCCCCTGTGTCAATCCATCTCATTAAGGGTCTTCACCTGTTTCCCATTACTACATTACAAATTACCAGAAATTAGCAGTTGTTTTAAGCTCTCCATCAGTCAGGAATCCAGGCATGGCTTAGCTGGATCCTCTGCTCAGGGTCTCTTACAAGACTGCAATCAAGGTGTCAACCAGGCTGCATTCTCATCTGGATTTGGGGACCCTCTTCCAAGCTCACTTGGTTGTTGGCAGAATTCATTTCCTTGATGCCTCAAAAGTCATGCAGCTTGCTTCTTGAAGGCCAGCAAGAGGAAAGTCTTTCCTGCTTTAAGTCTCTGGACTCACTTTTAAAGGATTTACCTAATAAGATCAGGCCCACCCAGGTTAATCTCCTTTTTGACTAACTGAAAGTCATATGTTTAGGGACCTAAAATATATCTGTAAAATTCCCTCATCTTTGCTCAATAATGTAGCATAATCTTGGGAGTGATGTCACATCACCTTTACCATACTCTCTTGGTTAGAGGCAAGTTACAGAATCTTCAAGAGAAGGGGATTATAGGATTATACAAAGATGTGACTCACTTTGCTCACCCTGACTCAATACATTTTCTCACCCTACTTCCCACAGCACCTTATTTTGAACCCACCAAAGTTCTTAGCTTTCCTCAAACTCACATTCCAATTCCTCACTTGGCTGTGCTTATGCTCTCCTCTGTGTCACTTTATCCAACCTAGAAGCCTTGTTGAGACACTGCCTGTGCAGGAACCTAGCCTCACCAGCTGAGTGAGCCCTTCCATCCCCCACATTCTTTCTTTAGCCTTTCATTGCTGCACTTAACACTGTTTACTTTGTGCACTTTTAATTTAATTCCTCAATCTTCCTTTTCTTATTGTTCTGTATACTCTTGTCATTTTACACATAGTAAATAGTCATTTGATTTCAAATCGTGTAAAAATTCTAATCCCTGCACCCAAAGCTGTTAACAAGCCAGTTAGATTTGCAGGGGATAGATATGTACATTGTTAGGTCCCAATGATGAGAAGATCTGCCATCCTTTGAGATATCATCCAGCTGTCATCCCTATGAAAGCCACATTATAACCCATAGTTCCTTAGCATTTGACTGCTAAGCAGAAGACTGGTGGTTCATACCTACCACCCACTCCTTGGAAGGAAGATTGCACAATCTACTTCCATAGTGATACTGCCTCGGAAACCCAAGGAGGGGTTGCTGTGGGCTGGGTCCGACTCAACGACAGTGAGTGAGTTCCTTAGCAGGGATTCTGAGACTTGCCTTAAATAATTTGCCAAAGGTAAGTGACAGCATTTAGGAAGTTGCAGTCTTGGGTCTGACTGACCAACAAGTTTGTACCTGCCTTTTCAAGTCCAATGTTCACTCTTGAGCTTGTCATTCCAGGGACTCCAACACTTGGCCTTCCCATACATGTCTAATTTTCTTTTCTCCTCTTCTTTCTTAACTGAATGCTTCCCTCTCACCACATCTCTGACCACTTTTGCCCTTTTGGCTTCTATGAGCCTTGCCCTCTCTCTGTCCATCCTACCTCCCTGACCATTTCTCTTCAATCTCTATATTGTGTAGACTAGCTCTCTTTCCTCTATGCTTGTGCCTCCATTCTTCAAATGCTTGTTTTTCTCAGGGCCTTCACCCTTCTTTGTTTGCACCCTTTGTTCCTATACCAAAACCAAAGCAAACTCACTGCCATCAAGTCAGTTACTACTCATAGCAACCTCCACTGGGTTTCCAAGGCTATGAATCTTTATGGAAACAGACTGCCTCATTGTTCTTCTGTGGAGTGGCTGGTGGGTTCAAACCTTGGACCTTCTGGTTAGCAGCCAAATGCCTTAACCATGGCATTGTTCCCATATATACTCCCTGGACAATTTCAACCTTTCTATGTCTTTGAATGACTCCCCTATTCCAGTGACTCCCATATGTCTATGTCCAGACCCTCATCATTTCCAGAACCCCAAATAAGACTTCTATCACCTTCTGGACTTTCTTCCAATCTCAAATTAAGCATGTCCCTTCAGAACTTATCTTCATCCTCATTCTTCCTTCTTTGTTATCCGATATGCTTTCTAAAGTACAGATGGATTGTCACATTACAGGTATCCCCCAATTTTTGAAAGTTCACTTTATACTACTTTACTTTTACACGAGACCTGCTTTAAGTTTTTGCTACTGAAAGAAATCTGAAGAGGATCTTTGCTTAAAAATAAAATTAAAAAAGAAAAAAGACAAAAAGCAAAGCTAGTGTTCAGCATCTGTTTTGCAGCAAGCCATTAAAGAAGGCAGTGCACATCCTGAGCAGCAAGAGTGGTGTCGCCAAGCTCCTTCCCCAGGATCTACACTCAGCATCTCAGCGTCAAGCTGCTGTTGCTTTCAACTGTGTCTGTGAACACTATACATTAGTGTTATTTTGGGTTTTATGTGTTATTTGGTATGATTTGATAGGTTATTTTTTGCATCTTGGAATGCTCAAAATATTCCCATATAAATTAATGGTAATTTCTTCTTTGCTTTACACCATTTGAGCTAACAGAAGGTTCCTTAGGAATGCTTCACATAAACTTGCAACCCTTGTCACCACTACCCCTTACCATGTATTCTACCTTGTACGTACGCCACATTACTTGGCTTTCTCCCCCAAGTGCTGTTCTCTCTTCTTTCTCTGTGCCTTTGTCTCTGCTGTTTCCAGGACTCCCTTCCCCCCAGTCTGTGTCTGCAATACTAGTTCTCCATTCATAACTATGGTGTGACTGCCTCAGAGGACCTCATTTAAAAAATAATATAGATTCCATAATATGGAAGGAGGGGAGGTAAATAGGGGTATAGATGAAAACCAATGAGCCGTGAGTTGATCATTGTTGAAGCAGAGGGTAGGGTCTTAGGAGTTCACTATTCTACTTTTGTATATATTTTAATATATATATGTTGTAATAGTAATACTAATTTGAAAAGAATACAGATGATAGGGTAACACTCCTGGAACTTTCAATTCAGTAGGTCTGGTATGAGGTTATAGAATCTGTACCTTTTTTTAAAAGCTCCCCAGGTGATTTGGAGACCACAGATCTAGAGAAATCCCTTTCCTCCCTCAGGACTATGTCAAAAGAACCTCCTCTCTGACCACCCAGTCCATAATGGCTATCATCCCTCATAGACCTAACACTTCCGTGCCGTACATTAAGCAGATCCCTTTGCCAACCTTGTATTTGTTTTTACTTGAAATACTTACTGATGCCTCTATTCTGTGATATGCATATTCTTATGATACATATTCTGTGATTCAGAATGCCACACAAGAGTGTTTACCTTTCACTCTGTATGGCCTGGGACAGTCCCTATTTGTAGTAGGTGCTCAGTCAGTATTTGTTCTTCTGGTCTATAATGCTCTAGATCCCTCCAGCCCAGTGGGTTGCTACCTTATAGATGTATACCTGTGTCTGTATTTGAAGCATCCTAACACACAACACACAGTTTAATTTCTCTGATCCCAAAAGGTACCTATTTCTTCATATGTCTTATTTTACAGATTAATGAGCACCATCTCATCTCTATTTCTCATGTTGCATTTGTTTCAAGATATCGGCAGGAGGGCTACATGGGGTATTTAGTCTGAGGCTAGCTAAAGAGGCTGTGAGTGTTTGTCCCTGACTATTTCCTTCTGACTGTTTTGAAACAAGGTGGAGGCCATAGTCTGTGTAATGCAGGTCTCTACCACGGATCTCCTTGAGAGATTGGCAAGAACAGACTCTGGAGAGTAAACTTCACTGCTGACAATCAGGTT